ACACACACACATACACAGTCTCTTTTTCTAGCGCTGTCTCTCCCCCTCATACATACTTAGATATATACACACACGTGTACACACGCGCGCATATACGCGAACGCACATACACACATACACATACACGCGATATATATGTATATATATATATATATATATATATATATATATATATATATATATATATATATATATATATATATATATATATAGGGGTGCAGGTTCGAACGGGATTTCCAATTTTCGCCGGTTCTGATCCGAAAAGTTCCAATTTTGGAACAACTTTTTTCATTCCGACTTCCGAAATTCAGATTTCCGATTTTTTCCAATTTTGTTGGATTGGAATTGGAATTATTTAAAATAAATTTGGAATTTTTGATTTCAGATCCGATTTAATTCCAAAACGTTCCGATTTTTTTCCGAAAAATACACCTATAAATAATATATATTACATAATACTTATTTTCAGAAAAATGCACCTCTAAGTTTTGTTTTAGGATTTTGACATAATGAATTGTTATTAAAATTTTTATTGGATATTATGTTGCGTTTATTTTTATTTATTTATTTTAACTGAAATTTAGTAGTTATTAGTTTTACTTTTATCGACCTGGATATATATATATATATATATATATATATATATATATATATATATATATAATATGAGTATTTAAACTAAAATAATTTAAAATAATTTTTTTAAATATTTTAAATATTATAAATAAAATTTTGGTAATTCCGTTATTTATCGAACCAAACGCTAAATGGTATAAAATTTTGGCATAACACAATTTCTGTACAATTTTACCGAATGTACGCCCTAAATTTATCAACTGGAGGGATTTTTTCGTATGATAATACATAGTTAATGTTGTGCTTGTAATTATGCAAACATGATGGGTCTTTTGTAATTTGACCTTAATGAGGGGTGATAGTAATTTGGCCTAGATAAAATGACAGGATTGCTATTAACTAGTAAAGTGAAAAAGAAGAGAGAAACATTGTAAAAATAGCAATATTATTTTCCTGGTGTGGTTGTCATGCATTCCCACCTATTGTAAAATGGGAATGCTTTTGAGTACATTGTGGTTCAAGATTATTTTTGGTTTAATTCTATTTCTAATTATGTTTATAATTTGATTACTGCAATTCTGATTTGACTGCAGTTTTAGGAATTGATTTCCCGAATTATGTTTCACTGATCTTGTATCCTTGTACTGAATTTATTCTTGGTCAGTATTGATGCAATACCTGAAATATAATATTGTTTTCTTTCCAATTATATCGTAATTCGATTACTGTAACTTGTGCAGAGATGTATAATCTAATTTCAGATGTACAAAGTTCATTAGAATTTCTGAATTTGCTAATTTAGTTTATCTCAATGTGATTCCATGCGTGGATGAATTCTTATTGAAGATTGTTTCAATTTGTAAATCCTTGACAGACTTTCTTGCTTTATTCCCCTTTTATACTCCAATCACAAAGAAATAAAAAAAAACAAAAAAAAAATTAATAATCACTCACATTCACATTCACATTCACATTCACATTGACAGTTGTTTGGTGATGGCAGTGGTTGTTATAGGTAAGCAAGTTCTAGAGAAAGGGTGGTTAGCGGCAAGGTCAACTGAAGTCAATCGTAGTGGTGTTGATCTCACCACGACTCACGCTCCTTCTCGTGATCACTCCCCATGGATCGAAGCTGTCGTACCTGGAACGTACGTAATTTCCTCTTCTCTTTGATTCTCATTCTCATCAAACTAGGTTTACTTGCAGGATTTGTTTCCCTCTATCAATCTACGTTGAAATATATATATATATATATATATATATATATATATATATATATATATATATATATATATATATATATATATATATATATATATATATATATATATATATATATATATATATGTGTGTGTGTGTGTGTGTGTGTGTGTGTGTGTGTGTGTGTGTGTGTGTGTGTGTGTGTGAAATCTTGTGTTTGGAATTTAGATTCCATGTATGTATCTATATATCTATCTACTTTCAGTCTTCGTCGATTATAGATTGTGGTTTGTTATTTAAAGTCTATTGTTCTATTGTAATTTGCTAACAAGTTGTTTAATATTGATATTCTAAGTGTCCGCAGATGTGTTCATTCACATTGAATTTGGATTTGTCCAATTAGGACTTGTCCTGAATTAGATGAAATTAATGTGTACTACGTAGTCTGAATCTTGTTAGTTTGATTGGAATGAGCTTACAAGATTTCTGCTTTGTATAATTAAATGCCACTAGTGTACTTGCTTCGTTAGTCCACGAAGTAATCTGACATTTTGTACTTGTGAATAATTTCTTTTGTGTTTAGACTGAATTAATTCGGAACTTGACCCCCAAAATTGTTGGATGATTCTTAATGTCAGTGTGTTGGCAACCCTTTTGAAGAACAAGCTTATATCAGATCCCTTTTATGGGTTAGAAAACGAGTCGATTATAGATATTGCTGATTCTGGGAGGCAATACTACACTTTCTGGTTTTTCATTGAATTTGAATGCAAGCTGGTAAGTGGTCCATTAATTAATAATGTTTTGTTTTACATGCTTACATTGTTCAATGGTGGTAGAAATACATACAATTTATGCGTATTGCAAGTTCTGGTCAACTGCAATATAATGTTTGGTTAAACTTTATTATTTTATTCTCCAGTTATTTTGATACTTGAAAGCACACATAAATTTATTAAATCCGACCCTGCTTGTCTGTTTTCTGATGATTATGCTGATTTCAGTCAGCCAATCAGCATGTGGATCTAAATTTCCGCGGTATAAATTATTGGGCTGAAGTTTATCTAAATGGGAATAAAGAGGTTCTACCAAAGGGGATGTTTCGAAGACATTCAATTGATATAACTAAGATCTTAAATCCGAATGGGAAAAATATGCTTGCTATTCTGGTCCATCCTCCCGATCACCCTGGAAGAATTCCTACACAAGATGGTCAAGGGGTGCGTCATGAGGTATGCCTAAACATGCAATTTAAAATATGCTTGTTCGAAATATATGAAATATTGTATCTTCAGAAATCCATCAAGATTCAAAAATATATTATTTTGGTATGTCAATGCTCTAGATAAGGAAGGATGTTGCAGCACAATATGTTGACGGTTGGGATTGGATGACTCCTATAAGGTAATCTTTAATTTTTGTTCTTTATGCAATAATCTAATTTACACCCTATTTTCAACCAACTTCAGAGTTAAGAGGTTATTATATATTCATCTAATGACTATCGCACATTAGAATTAATATTCGTTTTTCAATGTTCTCAGGGATAGGAACACTGGTATCTGGGACGAGGTTTCTCTTTATGTTACTGGGGTAATTAACTAGTCCATTTAATCTTTCAACATATTAAAAACAAAAAAACAATTATATGGTTTGTATCACATGTAATATTTGATGCAGCCAGTGAAGATAGTAGATCCTCACTTAGTGTCGACATTCTTTGACAATTACAATAGAGTTTACCTCCATACCACTATGGAGTTGGTTAACAGAAGCAACATGGTTGTTGAATGTTCTCTACATTTCCAAGTTGGAACTGAACTCGAAGGAAATATATTCCATGTAGAGCACGTCCATACTCAGAATCTTTCCATTCCCGCTGCTTCCCGAATTCAATACACTTTACCTGAGGTACGTAATTTTCTTATTTTCTTTCCGACCCTTTCTAAGCAATATATCATATACGATACTTCCTTTGTGGTCATGATTCTGAAATAACAATAAATAGCTCAGATTTTTGTGAATGGTTTAATTATTTTTGTACAGCTGTTCTTCTATAAACCGAATTTATGGTGGCCAAATGGCATGGGAAAGCAATCCCTTTACAACGTAGAAATAACAGTTGATGTGAAAGGTTACGGAGAGTCTGATTCATGGCATCAGCATTTTGGGTTCCGTAAGATTGAGAGTCATATAGATAGTGTCACTGGTGGAAGGTACTACTAACATTTCCTCGTCAATTCAAAGTACCATCTAATGCATGTTATGTTAAAACAAAATTTTGACTTTTAAGATCTTTGCAGGCTATTTAAGGTCAATGGCCAGCCTATATTTATTCGTGGGGGTAATTGGATATCATCCGATGGTTTACTAAGACTTTCGAAGAAACGCTATAAAACAGATATCAAGTTTCATGCCGACATGAATTTGAACATGATCCGTTGTTGGGGTGGTGGACTTGCTGAAAGGCCCGAGTTTTATCACTACTGTGACATTTACGGTCTACTGGTTAGCTCCCTATCTATTTATGCCTAGCTCCATGTGTGTTTGTTTGTGTGTGTGTGTGTGACAGAAAGAATTAATAAATTAATTTTGTAGGTTTGGCAAGAATTTTGGATAAGTGGAGACTACGATGAAAAAGGAATCCCACTACCAAACCAAGTTGGTCCATTGGACCATGACCTATTTATGGTATGTGTGAGGGACACAGTGAAGTTGCTAAGAAATCATCCCAGTCTTGCTCTCTGGGTTGGAGGTAACAACCAACCACCACCCAATGATATCAATACAGCTATCAAAAACGAATTAAAACTGCATCCCTATTTCGAAAGTTGTAATAATGAGTATAAATATTCCAAAGATTTAAAAGATCCAATTAGTGAATATCTTGACGGCACACGTATTTATGTCCAAGCATCTACATGGGATGGATTTGGTAATGGGAAGGGAGATTTAGCTAAAGGTCCGTATGAAATTCAAAATCCGGAGGATTTTTTCAAGGACGATTTTTACAAGTATGGTTTCAATCCCGAGGTTGGTTCTGTAGGAATGCCTGTGGCGGATACTGTTAGAGCCACAATCCCAAAACAGGGATGGAATATTCCTCTGTTCAAAGAATTATCCAACGGTTATGTACATGAAGTGCCGAATCCAATATGGAACTATCACAAGTACATTCCGCATTCTAAACCCGGATCGGTTCATAGTCAGATTCTGTTGTATGGAACACCAAAGGATCTTGATGACTTCTGTCTTAAGGTATATTCTGCGATTCTTCATTATTGTCTGCTTTCAAATTTTGTTTTGTCGACTAACTATATATATATATATTATTTTTCAGGCACAATTGGTTAATTATACCCAATACAGAGCACTATTGGAAGGTTGGAGTTCACACATGTGGAGAAAGTATACAGGTGTTTTAATTTGGAAAACACAAAACCCGTGGATGGGTTTTAGGGGCCAGCTATATGATCATCTTCATGAGCAAACTGCAGGTTTCTATGGCTGTCGTTGTGCTGCTGAACCAATTCACGTGCAGTTAAATTTGGCAACCTATTTTGTTGAGGTAAAGAAAACAGTATTCTTTTCTTTATTCTGAAATGTTATCCCATCTGCTACATTACTGCCAAATTCAGAATAGCTGAGTTAGGTTCTATTGTGTCTCTTCGTTCATTTAAGGTTCCGCATTCAATATTTTACGACTACCAAAGCCCATAACCGTTAAAGCATAGTTCATTTGCTTCTGTTGACATAGTTAAAAACTTTTTTTACTCTGAATAACGTAGGATTTTTTAACGTTATAGGTTACACAAGTTAATCTTCATCTAATCCGTACATTTCTATAATTGAACATATTCCTACTTATACAATCTGCTTTATTATGCAATGGAAAATTTTACGAGGTGTCTTTATTTTCTCATTGATAAGTTAATTTATCTGAAATGATTTCTTTTTACTGCGTAGGTTGTCAACACAACATCGGAAGAATTATCCGACGTAGGCATAGAAGTATCGGTTTGGGATCTGGAAGGAGCATGTCCATACAAACAAGTCTTTGATAGGCTGAATATACCATCCAAACAAACACTAGCTATTTCCGAGATGAAGTATCCCAAGTCCGAAAACCCTAAACCCGTATATTTTCTTCTTCTCAAACTCTATAAAATGTCGGATAGCAAGATATTATCAAGAAACTTTTATTGGCTGCATGTGCCTGGAGGTGATTACAAGCTCCTTGAACAATACAAAAGGAATAAGATTTCTCTCAAAATAAGTTCCCTAACTTCGATAAGAGGGTCCATCTATGAGATCCGTATGCAGATAGAGAACACTTCGAAGAAGCCAGAATCAACAAGTGCACTGCAAAATAGCAATTTGCTCGGAAAAAAGCCGAGTTTGTTTTACAAGATACTGGAGAATATTTCTGCGAAAAAATCCATTGACAAGGGAGTGACTGAAATAAATGGATCTAGTGCTGGAGTTGCTTTCTTCCTTCATTTCTCTATCCATGCTTGTAAGGAAGATGAGAGAGAAGGTGAAGACAGTCGCATTTTGCCTGTTCATTATTCTGACAACTATTTCTCATTAGTACCGGGTGAAGTAATGACAGTGAGTCTCACGTTTGAGGTTCCGAAAGGTATTACTCCTCGTGTTATGCTTCGAGGTTGGAACTATCAAGATGGGCATATGCTTCTGTAGCTTTATCTATAACTTGATACTCTGTTATTTGTCTTGATTCATTGCATACAAATGTATAATCTAAATCTCAAGTTTAACTTGCCTACTGTTTACCAGATTAGTGACATATTTCGGTAGGGCAATTGTACTCAATATCATCACATGTCCTGCCCTAATGAAATATTACTTCTAAATAAAATAAATAATATTTTTTTAATAATAATAGAGAGTAGGTGACATAAACTTAAGTTCCTACTTATACTTTTATGATCTCAAAGTGAATTTATACTACAGTTTTGAATTAGAAATTCTATGCAATAGCAAATTAACATTATTTATGTATATTGGTTTGATATTTAATATTTTGAATTAGTTTTTATACACGAATATAAAAAAATATTTTGGTATATTAAATTTTGTATACCAAAAAACTGTTAGGGCATTGGTACATGATTATGGTAGAAACATTTTTATAGAGCAGTCCTTACCAAAGCTACCCTTAGTATTACATATAATAAAATCGAAGCATTTGAATCTGATTAGAGGATTGATGAACAATGGTTCCATATTGGGTAGATTTTTAAGTCAAATGAAGTATTTAAAACATTACTTCACATATAAAAGTTTGTAATTTGAAATTCACAATCTCAAATTGATTCATCCAAATTAATTTATCCAAATTAATTTGTTAAATTTGTTATTATAAATTTAAGATGGTAGGTTACACCTACCTTCCCTAGGTTAGGTAAATTACACTTTGACCTCCCTAGGTTTGAAAAATTATTTATATTTCTATCTAGATTTGGTTCCAGTCAATAATTTACCCCATCAACCCATTGACTAATCTAAAACCGATCATGTTAGGGAAAAACATTTATTGTGATTCTTTTTTTTCCTTATCTTATTTTTCAATTTTTAAATTTTTTTATTTTTTTTCTATAATAAAAGGAGAATCGTTAATGGTTCCTCAATTGCTCTCCAGATGACCCGAACCCATGACCAAATAAGTCCTCGGGGCAAGCAAAGTTGGCAATCGGGTCATGTGAGCCTATACTCAACCTCAAATACCCTCGGGCTTTATGATTAGAAGTTCAAACTCACATATTATTGGCCTTTGTAGTTGTACGCTCAAACTCGATTCATATAATATTTTGGGTTTCAGGTTTAAATCGAGCTCTAATAGAACTTATAACACTACTTTTTTGTAATAATTTCGTGTATATATTCTATATAGTACAAATATTCGTAAATTTGCTTAAAAACGAGTTCTTTTGTTAAATTTTTATTTCCTAATCATTTGCAAATAAGAGAGATATTTTAAATAATTCAAATCAATTAAAGAGGTAATATTTTTCTTAAAAAACTTTTGAATTCGTTAAATTACTCTTAAAATAACCTTGAAACAACTACAATGAATGAATGTAAATTCAAATTTTCATTTATCACCAAAGTGATTCCGTCAATTAGTGTTAATTGTATAAAATAAATATATCACCTTATATAAATTTCTTATTCGATCGGACATTATTCGAGTTGAGCTATAATAACCTTAAACCCGGCTCATAGTCTTTTTGGGTTTGACAAAATGACTCGAACTCGGCACGATTCACAGTTAGATAGGTTTGGCTCAAGTGAAATCGGGCCGACCAATCGTGCTTCCGGTTGGCCCAACTTAATTGCTAGTCTTACCAACAAGCTACCTTGTTTTGTCCACTTTAACCTTTAAACTAATATTTTTAAATTTGTATTGTTATTTTTACTATTTTAGATTTTATTTAAATCCAAAGTAAGGTTTTTAATATATTTTTCGCTCGAAATAGACAATCTCTAACCAACTAAATGAAATTCAATCGTTCGTGCAACGAGAAATTATGATTATGAAAAACATGTTATAGAATAAACTTAACATATATGATAACAAATATTGATATGCATTAGGGATGGCAAAAAAACCCGAACCGCTAGCTATCCGCTCCGTTTATAATCCGTTACCGAAACCATTAGGGTTTGGTAATGGTTTTGGTATGAGAAAAGAAAACCGTCATGGTTTTGGTATGGTTCTGGTTTTACCTTGACGGTCATGGGTACCCGACCATTTAATATATATATATATATATATATATATATATATATATATATATATATATATATATATATATATATATATATATATATATATATATATATATATATATATAGGGAGGATATATTTTTTTTCTCTTTTTTTTTTTTATATATTAATAGAGTTACTTATACGTTATCGGACCCAAAGTAATTTTTTATTACCGTAATTTAAATGGTATAATGGGTACCCAAGCTTTTGGTGTTCCCTCCCCCCCCTTTTTTCGGGAATACCCATTTTTTTCCAGGTACCCATACTCCAAAAACCCCTTCTAAACTTCGCCCTGAATTTGGAACATATAGATTTTTCCCCAACCCTTTCTTTTTTGGAAGACCCCCCCCAATTTTTAGCCTGAAAGGTTAAGAACCTCCAAAAAAAAAAATTTCCCCTTTTAAAATTTCTTGGGAAAATCCTTTCCCCGGAGGAGCCACCTTGGAAATTGGAGTATGAGATTAAGAGTCGGTCCCGGGCCTTAATAAAAGGGAACAATTTTGGGGCACGAATTTTCTTCCCCGGGGGGGGGGGGGGGGGTGGAGATTGTAACACCCCGCGTCTCCGATAATTTAATTTTCTATTAATTAGCATATATTTAGTTAACGTGATTTTATCCCTTATGTGCGTTTATTAGTTTAAAGATTTTATTTATGTGATAACCGGCGAAACTTCATATAGAATGCATTAGTCCAAAATAAATTTGGACGAATTTAAATTAATTATAATAGTTAATTATTATACCTAGAGATTAATTATATTCTTTTATTTTCCTAGAACTCATTTATTAGGAGAATTTTAAATTACATATTTGCGTAATTGAAAATCAATTTTTTTTTATGAATAAAATTATTCGTAAGAAAAATCGAAAAATTTCTCCATATTACTCCCTCAATTTTCAGCCACCATGGTACTACACAAGCCAAAAATTTTCCTTGAGTACAACCTTTCTCAAGGTGAGGATGGTAATATGTGGGCACTTTTCTCTCTGATTTTAAAAGAAAAATTATGCGTAACTATCTATTTGTAGAAGGTGATTTTTAAAACGAGCATTCCACGCTCATTATTTTCTAAAAGTCTTCCGCTAGCTAGCATATTCTAAATTATTAAATAAGTGTAAATAGAAAAGGGGTGTCACACATACGTTGTATCAGAGTAATGTTCCCCGGAAACTTCCATATGAACTTAAAAGTCTCCGAGATTCTCTAACTACGACATCGACTAAACACTCGGGCAGATATCTATTTATATATATGCTTATGTGCAAAAATTTATTTGACTAACGTGAAATGTTTATGGGTGATAGTTGATCGCCTAACCAAATCCGCACACTTTCTACCGGTCAAGACTATCTTTAGTCTCGAAAAGCTAGCCGAACTTTACATCCAAGAAATTGTCCTACTCCACGGGATTCCTACGTCAATCATTTCTGATCGATACCCCCGATTCACTTCAAAATTTTTGAAAAGCTTGCACGAAGCAATGGGGACCCGTCCAACCTTTATTACGGCATACCATTCCCAAACTGACGGTCAATCCAAGAGGACGATCAAAACTCTCGAAGATATGCTTCGAGCATGCATAATGGATTTTGGTGACATTTGGGAAAGCCGGCTACCGCTCATCGAATTCTCGTACAATAATAGCTACCAATCGTCAATCCAAATGGCGCCATACGAAGCATTGTACAGAAGAAAATTCAGATCTCCAATCCATTGGGACGAAGTCGGCGAATGGAAATTATTGGGCCACGGACTAGTCCGACACACCGTCGACATAATAAGCATCCGGGAGAAAATGAAGTCGGCCCAAGATCGCCAAAAAAAAAAAAGCAAATAAAAAGAGACGAGACTTAGAATTCAATGTTGGCGACCACGTATTTCTAAAAGTCGCTCCACTCAAAGGAATTATGCGATTCGGGAAACGAGGAAAGCTAAGCCCTCGATATATTGGACCTTTCAAAATTCTCAACCGAATCGGTAGCCAAGCCTATCTTCTTGCCCTACCACAACATCTATCCCAAATACACAATGTCTTTCACGTACCCATGCTCCGAAAATACCTTCCTAACACCAACCACGTCCTTGAATTCGAACCTATAGACTTATCTCCAAACCTATCATTTATCGAAGAAACCGCCCAAAATTCTAGACCGAAAAGTTAAGAAACTCCGAAATAAAAAAAATCCGGCTTATCAAAATTCCTTGGAAAATTTAAACCCCACATCTTCGATAATTTAATTTTTCATTAATTAGCATATATTTAGTTAACATGATTTTATCTGCGTTTATTAGATTAAGATTTTATTTATGTGAAACTTCATATATAATCCATTAGTCCATAATAATTTTGGAAGAATTTAATTGATCATATTAGTCAATTATTATATCTAGAGGCTAATCATATTCATTTATTTTGCTAGAACTCATTTATTAGGAGAATTTGAAAATCACATATTTGCTTGATTGAAAATCATTTTTTTTGTTGAATAAAACTATTTATATTATCCTTTAAAATTATATTATTCTTTCTGAATTTAATTTTAAGGATAGTTAAATGAAATTGCAAAGAAGTCCCTTTAGATACTTTCTATGCTTGCCTAAATTAAAAGAAGGCTACTCCCCCATTCTTAATCATTAAGCTTGTAAGATCCCCACAAATCCATAAATAGAACACAAACCTTCATGTGTTTACTCATCTTCTCTACACACATCCTAAAGATCAAAGATCAAAATCTCATTCTCTTCTTCTCCCATTTTCGAAATTAATAGTGTAGGAAAGACCCAAAATCTCTTTTTCAAGACTTAAATTATTGGCCAACGAAGTAAGTCTTCTTCCTCTTTTTTCTTTTCTTCATTTTCAAATATTTCAAGAAGCTAAGCTTCTTCTTCCTCTCTCTCTCTCTCTCTAAAATATCTTTTCTTTCCCTTGTAGAAAGTAAAGAATACCTTTCCAAATTTTCTAAGAAGAACAAGGTGAGAATTTTTGAATTGTTGCTACAAGTGCTTCAACACCAATAGTACTTTTACTCTCTTTAATTCTCGTTGATGTTCTTGTAATGACCGAAAATTGAAAGAGGAAGAAAATGAATTTTTTTGTTGAAAGTATGGTTAGATCATCCATGTATGTAATAATCTAAGCTTTAAATGTATTAATCTTGAAAAACTAAGAATCAAATGATGATTTAATTGTTATGTATGTATATACTAGACCTACGTGATCTTAAGGAAACTTCGATCCATGGTTTTCGTAAACCTACGTGGTCAGAGAAAGTACTTGGTCCATGGGTTATTTATAATCTCCCTGCTATATATGTGTATATATCAACCTACGTGGCTGTAAGTGTACTCCCTTCGGGTCGGGGAAGTTTACGATCCATGGTTTACGATCTATGAGTAATAAGATAATATATGAGGCTAAAAAACCAAGAAAAAGATTAATAAAAGTGGAATTTCATGTGATTAAAGATTGTTGAGAAATATTTAAATTGCTAATAAGAGTAGCTTTTTGATGATGCATGTAGAAAGAGCAAGAACAAGTATTAAAAACTCTAATCCTTATCTTGCATGTGAAGATCTAGAAAGAAAATGAAATAAATTGAAATTCGGTGCTACTTTGAAGCAGAACTTCCAGTCTCTTGAGAAAGAGGGCTTAAACTTTAATTAATGAAACTTGGAGGTAGTAACTATAAATAACCGAATGTTTTGAGCTACTTTTGTTATATATGTAAAATATGTTATCTATGCTCTTTGCTTGAATTGTTATGTCTCTTACTTGATTTTTTTTTTTTTAATGACTAAACTATGTGCCTTTGCGAAATATGTGCAAATATATGTACCAATATACTTATGTGTAAGCTAACTTTGAATATGTGAAATTAAGAGTATACACTACTTTGTCCACAAAGTTTGCACGTACACCTTCAGCCCACAGTAAAAAAATCCTTACGAATTTTTTTATATAATCCATGTGTGCTAGCTAATCTATGCTACGGTGCAAACCAAAAAGGCCTAAATGGAAGGGGGGAAAATGATAGGATGTGCGGCATGCCTATAATTTTCGGGCACATTACAAATAAGCCCATCATGGGATACTTATTCATAAAGGGTCCAAACAAAAAAATATTTTACAAAAAAGTCCAGACATTATTCAAAGATGTGTAAACGATAAAAATCCCCCCCCCCCCCCCCCCCCTCCTCCACCCCCATTTTAATATGCTCTAGTTTCATCATTTAATCCAATTTAACCTCAATTTGACCCTAGATTTTTCAAATTATTCAATTTTGACCCAAAACTCAATTTTGAGTACAATTTCGCCCGTTGCCGCCATTGACCACTAGTCTCCGGCATTGACCTTTTGTTTTCTCCTGCTTTTTCCGCCGGTTTCCGGCGTCGACTTTCTCGAATGTTTTTTTTTTCTTTCTGCCGCCTCCGACCGCCGCGGTCAACGAGACAGCGGCGTTGACTTTTTTTTTAAACAATAATATTGTTGTGATTGACCGCCATATTAACTATATTACTGTTTAACACAGTAATATTAAATATACTACAATTTAACACAGTAATAATGGTATACACTCTCTTGCACAGTAATATTAACACAACAAAAATTACTATTATTGTGTAATATAGTAATGTTAATTTATTGACCGTTCAATAAAGGCAAACACAATAAAAAGCTAAAAGAATTAATATTGATGTGGTTGACTGTAATATTATTGTCATCCACAGTAATATTACTGTAACGATAGTAATATTACCGTCAACCACAGTAATATTATTGTGTTAATAGTAATATCATAGTAGCCAGTAATATTATTATGTTAATCGGTCAACAAATCAAATATATATATATATATATATATATATATATATATATATATATATATATATATATATATATATATATATATATATATATATATATATATTTATTTATTTATTTATTTAAAAAGTCAACACCGAAAACCCCGGCTGCGGAAAAAGCATAAAGGGAAAAAAAATAAGACAACGCCGGAAACCGGTTGCAAAAAAAAAAAAAAATCAGAAAAAAAAATTTTAAAAAAGAAAAAGCCAAAATTGTATTTTTGTGGTAAAAATTCATTACATTGAAGTTAAATTGGAGTTACAATTATGAATTGGGTTTAAAGGATTAGGGGTAATTTTGCCATATACATTAAATTTGTCTTTATTTATAATACAGAATGATGAACTTATTGGCGAAAGAGATAACCATGAACCTAGAATAATAGAGATATTGGTTGGTCAGAAACTTATTCGTAAGAGGTGTATCCAAGCCCATTTTTTCTTTGTTCAAACACACATAAAATAGTTCTTTAGTTCAAGCCCATAAATTTATCTAATTTTCTTATATCAAGGCCGAAGAGGACGAATATGCCATCATCCAAAAATACTACCAAAATAAAAAAACAGACCCTATATTCCTATTTTTAATTTGTTCAAGTTGTTCAACCAAGGAAAAAAAAAACAAAAAACAAAAAACAAAATAAAAATATCCGACCCGCCGCCGCTGCACAACTGCACCCGCACGAACGCCGTCGCACCACCGCCGCGACGCCACCGACCAGGGAGATCGCCACCGCACCGGCGCCGACATACAACCCACCCACTTGGACACCACCACCACTCTACCACCACAAAACACCACTTTTTTATACTAAACTTTTTGTTGGTAAATTCGAAAACATTAATCGAGCATTGATTTCTTGAAAAAGAGCATTGATTGCTTGATAAATATGCGTGGTAAACATTAATCGATGCTTATTTTTTGTTGGGTTGCAATGGTTTGGTCGATTTATGATTAAATTTTGAAATTGAAATAGGAGTTGGGAAAATGGCGTGTACGCGACAATTTTTTTTTATAAGTCGACATATTCAGATCGATTTGTTTTTTTGGAAAAATCGGCACTATAATACCGATTTTGTTTGTAAAATCGGCACGTGTATACCGATTATTTTTTAAAACATCGGACTGTGAATACAGATTTTTGGTATCGACGATTTTTAAAAAAAAAAAGAAAAACGACACACAAGCTAAAATAAACGGTTAACACATATATTATTACGTTTTCCACCCTCATAAACCACCATCTCCTTGTTTTCCGACTCTATTGTGAATGTTTGGTGATTATTTGATTGCTTTGGTGTTTAGGGTTCGATTTGTGAAGAAGAAGAAGAAGAAAAAGAATGAGATTTTTAAATGTGAAATAATGGGTGTGTGTAGGTTTATTTTATTTGGACTTACACAAGGGAATTTTTTTTATTTTTTTAGTTTTATATTTTTGTGTTAATTTGGTCTTGAATTTCATTAAGGATAAATTAATATTTTTATGATCGTGGTCTTATACAAAGAAATTTGTGTGCTTGAATATATCGGCCGCCTTTGTAAACACACCATAATTTTATACTAGTAGCAAACATGTGCTCTTTCTTTTACCATGGTTTGGCCGGTCCACCAAAACCCAAGCGAAATCATTTATTATCCAAAAAAAAAAAAGAAAAACAAGAAATGAAATCAGCACTATGAAGTGTATGAACAATGAAATCAGTGTCATCACCGTTGTTTTTATCATTGAACGCAGTTAAGAAGAAGAGATGTGGCAATTTCCCAACCAGCACCACCCAATTTAAATTTATTTATGCTTGTAAATTGAGGCCTCCTCCTTCAATCTCATCTTCTTCTTGGTCTTGTTCATTTAGAGTGAATTGCAGCAGCAATAGTTATGATGGCGGCGGGGATAATTCTAATTATAATTCGAATTCGGATTCAGATGAACCCCTCACCCTCACCCCTTCTTCGGCGTATGCTGTGCTGGGACTTGACCCTCAACAATGCTCATATGCACAACTCAAATCTGCTTTTCGAACCAAAGTAATCTCAATTCGTCTTCCGTTTAATTCCCTCTCCCCTGTGGATTATTTTTTAGTAATATTATATTATATGTTGGGGTTTGGTTTTCAGGTGAAGCAGTTACACCCAGATGTAACCAGAGGTGGTTACAACAATTCGGATTTCATGATTCGTCGTGTCATTCAAGCCTATCAGGTAAAATTGTTATACACTAGTTTGGGATTATCAGCTTTTATTTCTTTATTTAATTTTTATCATCTCAAACAGCTTTTGTCCAACTACACCAAATCAGAAATTATTGAGAGGTACTACCTCAACACTACACTTCTAATTTACTTACTGCTTTAAAGATTCTTTTTTTAATGATTCTCCTTGTTTACAGCTTCATTTCGACATGACTATTTTACACAGCAGTTGCATTAGTTTAATGTGTGCTTGTTAATGAATCCAAAGTGTTTCGATCCTCTGGAGTGTAGTCTAAGGTTGTTTGTTATCAATCAATTGTGCTTGCCAACCCTTACAATCAAGTTCAATGATATAATCTTTTATTTGTGATGATATAATATTTGTTCTATAAAAAACATCAACAATAATCATGTTTGCTTGATACACATGGTGGCAGTGACTATATATTATGAATTATGATGATACAATGCAATGTATGAGTAAAAGAAATTAACACGGTCATAGTCTAATTACGAGTTTGGGAATGGTAAGTCAAAACTTGTTTGTTCGCTGGCACTCTGTAAAAGGAAGGAACACACTAGAAAATGTGTATTCTATTAATTCCTTGTGTTTTCATCTGTGTCTGTCCCTAAAATTATATACCAACTTGTTAACAGTTTTTAAGACTTAAGAATTTTCTTCCCACGTATTTTTGGGAATAAATATGATCTGTAGTTTCTATCCAGAGTCATTTGATTTCCACACGAATCTAGGGAATCTTATTTTTACTTTTCACGAATTATTCACACAAATTTTGGTAAAGGTTCTGTGATAATATATGTAATTCTAAGCAGCAATTCAGCTATGATTTCTTCAGTGTCTTTCCTTCCTCATGTTTGGATCAGTTTCCCTAAAGTTAAAGAAGGTTATGTTTGGATGAATGTTTGGATCCACTTGTGAACTAATATATCAAACACTTAGTCGGATCAATTGAATTTTTTAAACATGATTTAGTATTACTTAACAGTAGCAAACGAAGTTTAAGTTCACCTGCATGCATCTCTTATACATTAGATTTTGTTTAATACACATCTGACATGATATATATCATTAGTAGTGGCTTGCTTTAGTTCAATTTCTCTAATATTTGTCCTCCATCGGATACAGTGGTTTGATTTTTGTCGAGTAAAATTCTTAACCAAAGAAAGCTTTTCTATCATTGCAATTTTATTCGTTATTTGATTTCATTATCTGTTAATGTTTATGGTAAATGTTATTATGGTGTACGTTATTATATTAATCCACTTAATGTTACACATGTGTAGAGAATGTATGGATCCATTTGACGAACCTGAATGTGAGGCAGCTGATGTCTTTGTCAATCAGGTTCTTTGCATTGGCAAAGGTACCAACTCTTTCATTGAATTACTGAACTTTTAAATGCTTGCAAAAGAATAATTAAAAATAGGGTAAATTACACCCACACCCCTGAGGTATGCTTAAATAAATTTAAGGTCCCTATGGTATCGATAATTACACTCACCCCCTGAAACGTAGTTAGAAACTCTAACGGGATAATGCATTGGATACATTATTCCGATAGGATTCTAATGGACTATTACTTTTAGCTAGTGGTGGAGATAACATAGAATTATGGGGTGACATGGCTCCCCCAATATTTATTAAATCACCCATAACTCTTTGTTGTCTCCACCACTTCCTGAAACCAATAGTCCCTTAGAACTCTATCGTAATAACTTATCCAATGCATTATCCCATTAGAGTTTATAACTACGTTTCAAGGGGGTGAATGTAATTATCGATACCACGGAGACCTTAGAGTTATTTAAGCATACCTCAGGGGTGTGGGTGTAATTTACCCTTAAAAATATTGAAGGAACCAATTTAGGTTAAATGATCGATCAATTGATGTTCGGTATTCATATGCTGCATCTCCAACGTCCAATATCTCTTTTTACTCTAACATATTAATGAATGTACTATTATTTTTGGCATGACATTGAAATACAATCTATTATACTCGTTACTGATTTAGTTATCATGTACAAGTAAATGGTAGAATAATTTCTATGGATGCTATTTCTGTTGTATTCATTCTATAAAATGGAAACGTCAATAAATTCCAACTGCGTTACGTAATGAAATGAGTAGAGAAAAACTAAACCATGACTTTATTATTTGAAAAAATAGTTCGGCGCTTAGTATTTCAGATGCAAGAAGAATTAATTGTATAGATGTTTCATTTTGAATGCACACGACTTTCTTGGTAAATTCCAAGTTGCAAATTGCCAATGAATTAATGATGATCCTCACTTTCAATTTCTTATCAATTTTCAGAATTAATTTAGGAAGATTGACTAGTTATTTTATTGACATACATTTCATATATGTGGATAGGTTGTCCGTATTCATGTGTAAATATGGCACCACATGCTTTCAAGTTATCTTCAGTAACAGGGACTGCGGAAGCAACTTGCCAAGGTTGGTTTTGTCCCCCTTATTAATTGCGATGAAGTGCCGATAATTATAATTTAATTAAATCATTATCCATTTTTATTGCATAGGGCATGGTGAAGACTATAAAGTTCAGATTGCAGTTGGTCAGTGTCCAAGAAATTGTATTCATTATGTTACCCCCTCACAACGAATTATTCTTGAGGAGCTTCTTCAAAGGTATGTATAATTCTCTTTCTCTCCCTCACATGTTTCCTTTATTATCTTCTTGTTCCCTTTTTATCGGGCTATCTTTTGCAGCATAATCGGCATGCCATACGACACATCAGCCGAGGCGGAGTTGCTATATTCTTTGATTGTAAAAGCCAAGTATGAGAATAATCGATATCAACGTCCTAAGAGTAATTCTAATTAGGTCTCAATCAAGCATGTTCATTGGTTCTAATTCCGAAAATCACGCGGGGATTCTGTCTGATCTGTGTGTACAGCAGATACCTCAATTTGTCTGATTACATGCTTGTATATAACTTGCACTCTTTAATCCAATTTTTTTGCTCAGACATATTGCAACGGTAAAAAATATAGGAAGTAGACGTGGAAACAACGAAATTCAATTGATAAAGAACAGAATTACGATTACAGAACCACCTGGGAAACTCAAACGCTGAAAAAGCTTCGAAAGTTAAGTTCCAAACGCACCCAGAGACTCAACGAAGAAGAAGAACGCAACAGAAATCAGCTATCTTCTCACAATAAATCTTTCGTTATTTATATTAGAAGCTAGAAATAGAAAAATGCTAAATGGTAGATGCGACTTCAATTGATTCTATGAAAATAATAATGGTCTTCTGCCTGGCAATTATATGTAGTTTTGCACATACCAAATGCCCTCTTCTAAAATTGTCCTTGTTTTCAAGAACAAAAAGTTGGCGACGCTTGAAATCATTGCACTCCTTTCATGTGGAATTTTCTTCTGTAACGTTAAGCCAATTTGATCAATAATTGAGTAGCAACCCTGTTGTTGATTTTGACTAACCTGAAATCAATAATAGCTTGAGCTTACGTTTTAAGTAAAATGTGCCCGTGTGGAGTAAGTGAAGTTAATGCAAATTAATTAATGCAAAAAGGACATAAGTTTTACTTTTCCTATCTTCTGGTTTTCTTATGAACAAAGAAAAAAAAATACCATTTTTTATTTAAGGGCGCTGCCCCGAAACCCCAAAAATTTATGCCCATCTATAACAATATACTAAACTCGTCACTCTTAAAACAGTCGTTGCTGTCATTAATTTCTTGACATTTTTTTTTATTTATATTTTTATGTGTATTCGGCCCCTCGATGATGAAATTTTGGCTTCGCCACTGGACACATGTAACGTGCACCTGTCTAGTATATAGAGAGTGAACGAAAAAGAACAAAATTCAATTGCTAAAGAACAAGATTAAAATTACACAACCACCTGGGAAACTCTAACAGTGAAAGATATTTGAAAGTTAAGTTCCAAACACACTAGAGACTCAACGAACAAGAAGAATAACCTAACACAAATCAACTATATTCTCACAACGGATATTTCTTTATTTATATCAAAAGCTAGAAATAAACACTAAAGTAATACAAAAGCGCAACAACGCTTTCGAACTCAAATGCTTTTATTGATTAATTAAACACATAAAATGCTAAATGGTAGATGCAACTTTAATTGATACTTAGTAATTTAGACCTATGGAAATAAAAACGGTCTTCTGGTTGGCATCTGCTTCTCCTCTTTCCATATTTGACTACATGGAGTTTTGCTCATAACACATATGATAGAAGCATCACTTTGCAAACCCTTTTGTTATGGTGACATTAATTTGTATAATCCACTTGTAAAAGAGTCTTACAAAATAATACAAGTTATAAAAATTAGGACTGATTAACCACACATTACATAGAAAATGTCAATCTTCAGTCTTTAACCAACTATTTGTTTGACATTTTCGAAAGTATAATTTGGGGTAAGTTGTAGAAAATATTCTTGAGTGGGGACTGAACCATAAGTCTAAATGTGGTTTGGGGATTTTCTTTTTTCCCAATTACGCTATGATTTTTGGCGAGGACAAAAGGGTAAATCTCATAGACACGCAATGCAACTTGTTCTGTATTTTATGTGACTATGAGCTGATAAATAGATTATAGATAATATACAGCAGAATAAAGGAATTTACATGGTAGTAAATAATACAGATAGGTGTGTCTGAGTGATATTCATGCATGATTTTTAAACGGAAAAAAAAAACAAAAGAATTATCTGGAAATGACTTTCATGAAACGATTAAACGAGGAGAAGATGCCTGCCGCTTGATCAAACAAAGACGTTCCCTTCTCCGGATCATCTTGCCCACCAAATATCATCTGCCAAGAAAAAAGAAATTTAAAATGACGTCAAATCTCAACCGCAGCACAGCATTTGAATTAGTGGTTTCATATATTGTGAAATGGCGAAAGATGAGTTAAAGTAACCTCGAGTTCTTCTGTGTCAGGGCGTCGTATCATTTCCTTGGCAAGCAAATACCTGTTCAGCCTCTCCTTATCATCGTAAAATACTTTCCACAATCTGTGTCCCATTTCATAAATATTGTCATATTCACTTAGTCTTACATAAAATAATTATTATAAAATAATTAAATAAGTACTTACCCTGGGTAACACCTAAAAACAGCACCCGTTGGAAGAGGCTTCATCGAGTAGACAACCGTAAATTTGCTGCATACAAATAATTTATGATAACAAACTTTAAACAAGTTATCTTACGTTAAAAAAAACTAAGTCTAACATACAAGCATCACATTATATCATAAACACAAGTATATGTATTGAAACAATCAGGAAGAAGGTAGGTAATAAAGTACCTTAAAAAATCACGTCTTAACTGGCGAACGTTGATACCCACTCCAACATCCGCACTAATAAGGCGCGGGTTCCACATGATAAGAGGTCTAGGCTAACATAATTATGTCAAACAAACTTATTTCAATGAATGGTCTTAGCTCACTATAATTCTGCTAGCATGCACAACACTTGTTAAATAGTGTTTTGACAGATTGGAATGCTTTTGAATAGTAGAGTAACTATTGCATGTAGAATTGCTAGGACTAAATTATTTGAGTAAGTTTAAAACTTTAAGAAAATCCATAAGTCTTACAATTATAAATTTTACGGGAAAATCTGTAGAGATGATTTGAAGGAAGCATGATAGAAGAAAAGAAGAACTAATAGAGGAGATGAAAACTGAAGCCAACATAAAGTGTCCAGGTATATGAAGTCCAATAGAATTGATATGGATAAAAGTTGTATGTAATGTACTCACTTACCTATCATTTTAGAGGATCAAATACACTCTTTTGGTTGTTTGAAGATAGATTCCATCGAATAATCATAAAAAACTTAAGGACAGTGAAACTAGAAGAAATTGTTTTCTTTAAACACTAAGGCCCCGTTTGGTTGCCAAGATAAGCCACGATTAACTATATAGTTGGACTTAATTTGATGTTTGGTATCCTCAATAAGTTCCCGGGTCGACCCGCCAAAATTATATAATCATGGCTTATCTTGGCTTATCTTGCCTTCTAATGAGTTTTTTTTTGTTGGACGTTTCAAGCTCCAATAAAATAATTGGATTGCATTAGATTATTTAATCTTATCTTGGCTAATCTTATCTTGCCAACCAAACGGGGCCTAAAGAGTTAAGGGTCTATAGTTTGGTTATTAAGATAGCATTACCAAAGTAAGATTATACAATCTTATGAAAACCCCATTGTTTAGTTCAATTAGGGAGGTCTAATAAACAATTCCACCATTAAAAAAAATAAGATAATAGGCTCATTTTTCCCATGATTGCAGGCTGACCCGAAAAAGGTTATTGGACTACGATAGAGTATTTATATTTCCAACCAAATGAGTCCCAATACAGTATTTATCTGAATGATTTTGTATTTGATTGCATACAACTAGTTTCCATGATATTCTAAAACAGAAAAAAGCAAATATTTTCTTATAACTATTACCAAACTAGAAAGAAGGATGTTTGCCAAAGGTTGGATGAGATCTTAACTCGAAACATGAAAGTGATGTATGGGTGTTAATGAATTTCGGATAGTACGAGTTTTCAATGGCTAGAAAGAAAAAGCATCTATGCTCGCACTCATTCAATACAAAACATACGTTTTGTTACAATTCTTATTGTTAGGAGATTCAATTATGTTTTTGGACTTACCACCCTGATAAACCCCCAACTCAAAAAAAAAAAAAAAAAAATGGTACAAAAGAAAATAAAACCATGCATTCCCGAATTGAGAAATGATATGCAAAAATACAGATGAGAAATGAGGATGCATGAGTAGTACCGGGTCGTCTAAGAGCTCAGATGCAATTTTTTGAACAAATTTCAACATCTGATAATCAGGAACCACCATCACAATAATCTCGTCTTCACTAGTCACCGGTTTTCGGTCACCTAGACTGGATAAATAAGATCAGCTAGTATCACAATATCGTAATAAAACTAAACATAATTTCAAAAGTAGAAGAGAAATACTTCTACTTATTGCACTGTATAATATGACATATACCACTGACATCATCTCTTTCTACATTAAAAAGAGTAATGACCTTTCTTCGGGAAAAGGTGAATATTTAAGCGACCATAAGGTGAAAATGCATTCAGAATTAACAACATCTTCTTCATAGAAAAAATGCATTTACATGTGATGCAAATACTAGAAAGTCATGAAATAATACAGAATCTGTTGAATTGCATCGAACGTATAACAAATCCCCTTTCAGAAATAAATAAAGGGGGCTGCCACCCTGTTGCGCCAATATAGAAGCACTGGAGCGAAATTCAGCATAAATTTGACAAATTTTAACAATTAACCATGTTAACTAAAAAGACATTCTTTTGAAATTAAACACCGAATCAGATGACTACATTGCATATAAAGATATATTAAAGTGTATCTGCAATTAAAAGAAAATACAGAAAGTACTAATACCAATACTGTTACCAATCTTTTTTTCCGGCTAATAATGACCTAAGTAGTTGCAAATAAATCGATTCAAGAACTAAATGGATATTCATAGTTAAATTGTAATTGCTACTCATGATTTAACAATTGAGTTAAATAAGGAACAAGAACCAACTTGATAGTTTGCTTGGAAGGTATGTTAAACAACGAGCGACTACGACTGTATCTCCCCCAATAATAAGAACCATTTGAATGATGTGAATGTTTACTCAAAATTTACCTGGAGAAACCAAATGCAGCATCTTTCCACTGATACTTTAATAGTGCAGCAGCACCAGCATCCGGAAATACGGCTTTAACTCTCTAGTACCAAAAACTTGTAAATCTCAGTATGACGAGGAACTAAACAATGAAGCACTTGTTAACCACACATGAAATTGCTTATGCAAACCATACTTTTACATACATGACAGCCATTCATAGAGGTGGGTGAATTGCACATAAAAGAAAAATAAATAAAAAATATTTAAGATATTTTGGCATAACAGATCCTTCATCTCCATGCGATTGTATACAAACAGATAAATGTATGTGCATGTTTATGTATGAAAACGTATACATAAATACATGTATATGATTATTTAAGGCTAACATCTCCAATAATATCTAAATGTAAGCTCGTAGTCTAAATGCTAGTAAAAAAAAGTTATAAAAAACATGAAAATCAAACCAGGCCTCCTGATTGTTGAATAAGAGTGTCCAAAAAGATCTTAGAAAGCTCCCAAAGCTCAGCTTGTGCCCCTTCATCGTCAAGAAACTGCAACTGTGGAATTAACAGCTCCACCTAAAACCCAATAAACAAATAAATAAAACAATAAAACAAACAATCCCTAACTGGTTAGTGCAATTACAATTACAAAACCATTATTCCTTATAATAAATATATAATATACATACTATGGCTCTCATTCCACCAGAAGAAACAAACTCTGCAGTTGCTTGGCCTGATTGACGAACAGCACCCTCCAAATCAGAAGGCAAGCAGCTGAAACACCAAATTTTGTATTGAAATTAATCCTTCCTTCCTTATTTATTTATTATATCAACTTGTAAATAAATATTGAATTCGCAGCACCTGTCGCCCTCTTCAATTTCTTCAAGTTGTTCATCAAGTTGTTCATCATTGTCATCTTCATTTGCTTCAAGGTTTTCGAATTTGTCGAACTTTGCATATATTCTCGACTTGGAAATTCGATTGAACCTAGAAGAACAACAAGTGTGGGAGGAGGGATGAAGAAATAGGGAAGAGGTGGAGGGTAGTTTGGGAATTGAAGCGGTGTAACAACTACTACGCAGGCTTGAATAAGCCATCTCCATCCGCATTCTTCTGCCACAGCAAGGATAGAGTTAGAGACTGAAAATGCTTTAGAGGAGGCACCACCTATTTACTCCAATTTACTACTTTTTCTCCTCAATTTTACCTCATACTAGTGCGGGATTTGCTATTATCAGTGCGGTTTTTATCACTCACAGTGCAAAATAATTCATTTTTTTTCCTTTGTCAAATCTTATCCAACCATCTCAAACACTCTCAACCTTTAATTTTTGAAATTCTTCAAATCCAATAATTTTCCGACCAATATCAGTTTGAGCACAAGTACTATCAACATGGATGAACGCTTCGATTTTGAGGTGAAAATACACGTTTTTTGTTCATTTCCAACATTTTTAGACATTTCGTGTTACTTCATACGAAATCTATTCTTCCATTTTGTGTAATACTACACGAAATGTGACATTTAATTACGTTTTATGACAATTTCGTGGTAAAACCTATGAAATTAAAGCTCTTATTTCTTATGTTTTTACACGAAATTGTAGCTTACATTTCATGTTGTTTCATACGAAATCCCTTAAATATTGTCTTTTAATTTCAAATATTTATGCAGGAACTAAGAGAACAATCTCATGATCATAGTCACTTCTTTGAACGTGGTATTGTGTGTGATAGTAGAGAAGCGTTAATTATGTGGGCAAAAGACACGGCAATTAGTCATAATCATCGACTGAGTAATCATTGTAAAACAGAAAAATATCATGTTTTAACGTGTGCAAAATATCAATCTGGACGACACGTACTATTGAGGAAACGTTCTTGTCCGTTCAGGTTAATTGGCAAAAATCAACGGAGGATGGATTATGGCGATTGAGTGTGAGTAATGGTAATCATAACCATCTGCCGTGTATTTGAAAGTTTAACTTATATTTAAATTTGTATTTTTTTTAATTTTGTATTTTAATGTTTAATTTATGTTTTGGAATATTTAAATTTGTAGTGTTGTGTTTTGCATTTTTATGTTTAACCTATGTTTATGGAATGATTGAATTTGTTAGGTTGTTTGTAAGGGTGTTTGTAAGGGTGTTTTGTTTTGGAATGTTTAAATGTGTACTTTAATTGCTTCATTTGTACGTAGTTTCTAAATTTAAATCATAAAACTAGCAAATTAAAATGCAAAACAAACTAGTAAATTAAATAGTTCGTAATAATAATAAACAAAATTAGTAAAATAATTAGTTCCTAATAATAATAAAAACAAATTATTAAATTAAATAGTTCCTAACAATAATAAAAATGCATAGTCCTAATAATAATAAAAAAAATACTTTAAAATTAAATAGTTCATAAAAATACATAACTGGCAAAAAAAATCTATAAATTACCGCCTCGCTCTCCTCGGCGGCTGCACCTCATAATCGTCGTCATCGTCGTCGTCATTGTCTTCGTCGATGCCAATATATCGGGCGGCGGGCTCCATGATATCTCCAAGGTCGGCACGTAGATCGGCAAACTGCTGCATCTAGTCTTGTCAAGTGCTCCTGGTGATCGGGTGCAATGCACGTACTATCTGGTAATAAGCCGGCTGATCTGGTGGCCTCACATTCTCTCGATGCATTTGAGTCGGGCCTACGTCGGGGTTGGTGATCTTCAGATGAGTCCGATCGGTGTACCAATTCATGTAGTGCTCGTCCACTTCCCCTTGTTGTCGTGCCGTCTTGTATACGTTGGCACAAATGGAATGAGCCTGGACCATGTCCCACATACCACCCGGAAATGGGTAGTTGACTTTGTACGATGCACCTCCTTTGGGACCGCGTAAACATGGCTCCATCGATGGAATCAAGCCGCGTGGGATATCCTGAAGCCACCCGAACTGTCGGACGCAACGATCAGGCATATACGGTTCTACGATTCACATATACTGGATCGTGCCATGATACAACGTACGATGGATACTCTCGTGTATATCCCGACCATATGGTAGCCCCACGACCTAAACAGAAAAAAATATAAATACATAAATCAAAAAAATCATATTTGAACAAACTACAATTACATAAAATCGAAAAATTCATATTTAGAAAAACTACAATTACATAAAATCGAAAAATTCCATATTAAAAAAAAATATATAAACACATAAAGCGAAAAACTCATATTTAAAAAAAATATAAACACATAAATCGAAAAATTCATATTTAAAAAAAAAAATATAAATACATAAATATAAAAAACTTACATCATCCACTGTCATATTGTCGAGTAAACCTCGAATATGCTCGAGTGTGCCCGCTTTTGGCGGCACGTTCCACCTCTTGCATCGAGGCTGAAACTCGCGGTACCGCTCGCTCTCCTCCGGCGGCTGGAATCTCGGGAAATACTCGTATATCCAGCACTGCAATATTTTATTTAAATATATTTAGTGAAATAAACAATAGAGAATATATAAATTTAAAAATATTATGAAAAAAATAAGTACAAAAAATATATTAAAATTTACCTGAAGAAGGGTGGTGCAACCCGCCAAGCTCCTCGACTGTGCTCGACTGCATATACCCAGCTCTCTGTATAGATTGGCCAAACAGATTGAAACCCACGAATACGTGCCGACCTGATCAAGTACTGAATCCTCGAGCACGTGCATATACCACGGCTTCACCCGATCACATGTCTTGTCCGGGAATAAAATCGATCCGAAGAGAAACACCAAATATATCTGAACTCGGCGTCTCAGGGGCGTGTCGGGCATCAACAACTATCCATGTATCATCCTCCATGTGGGGACTCATGCTTCCATGAATCGTCAATCTCCTCAAAATCGAGGTTTAATATCTCGGACAGTAAATACACGCAGTTTGTCCGCTCGATGGCCTCGTCGTACCTATGTGCGACCACCCGTCCCTCCACATTGACACCTAGAATCATCTGGACATCGTGGAGAGTGATAGTCATCTCTCCCACGGCATATGGAAGCTGTTCGTCTCCAGCTGCCACCGCTCCACGAATGCAAACAACAGCGGACCATCTATGCGCGGTAAAAAACAGCGGGTTAGGGGATACAAACCGGTCATCCGCAGAAAATGCTTGTCTGCAGTGACATCTATGTCTAACTGGGCCAGGGCATCTCCTATCTTCTCGTAGTTGAAATGGTTCAGAGAGTTGATACGGGACTCCACTCGTCCAACCGGACGTTCCTGCAATCATTTATTTAGAAAACATATTAGTTAATCAACTATTAAAATATTTTACTATAAGATACAAAATTTATAATATTAAAATTAAAACAAGTAATTTACTTACTTCTCCCCTCCAAATATATGCCACTACGTGCGTCTTGAAACTCGGAATCAAAGACGGATTCCGCGGGCCACCGGACAATGGACCATCTAGCAGATACGGATTGACTCGAGTATGACTTCGACCACCACGAGCTCCACGGCCCCGTGCTCGGCCTCCACGACCTCCACGAGCTACAACCTCTGTCTCGTGAACGGGGTCCACCGCATCCTCCTCCTCCTCCATAGCATGGGAAGACTCGACAACGGGATGTGCAACTGATGATTTGGCTTCACCAGCTCTCTCCGCCTCTCGCCTATGTCGTGTAGACATAGTCATGCGCTCGCGCTCGCGCTTTTGATGCTCGGCCTCATCACAAACTGCCCACATAATTGTCTTTGATTTGCCTTTGTCTGCCATCTGTTAAATAAGACACTATTAACGTCAGTCTAAATAATAATAAATAAACAAATCTTAAGAAAAACTGAAATTTTGCATAATTTCGTGGAAAAATATAAGAAATTAATTCTTACATTTCCTGTTTTTTTTCACGAAATACAAGTATTAATTTCGTATTTTTTTCCACGAAATTATTGCATAATGCCAGAAACACACAGTTTTCGTGCATAGTACCTACGAAAGAAAAGCTTACATTCCGTACGTTTTCTCACGAAATTAAAGCTTTTGTTTCGTAAGTGTTTGCACGAAATGTTAGAGTAGGTGACCAACAAGCCAACATGTGGTTGTGGTCTTTCGTATTTATTATTGTAATAAACGAACCTTTATTCGTATTAATGATAAAACACCTTGGCATTCTATATCTTTGTCCCTTTGTCACAAGCATAGATATAGTCCTTACAGTTATTACAAGTAGTAGTAATTGATCGTTAGGATCGTGAGATATTTACTTAAGTATTATAACTGTTAAACGTGTTCCTAGTCGAAGGGTTACGCCACTAATGAGGATATCGGCCTTTCCCATTAAGACTAGCACTTAGTGTATGTGTACTGCATCTCATCAGTAAACAGTATTGTGATATCGGCATGCATAAGTGGGTGCTCGTAAGTTGAGGAGTTCACTGAACTCCCTCACCCTAGAAATCTCTAAGTGGTTCCCAATAATCGAGTAGAGATATCTATGGTATAGTTGTACACCATTAGTCCTTATGACCTAGACATCACCGTGACTTCACTAGAGGACCAGCTGTATCGTGACCTGTCCCTGAGTTCCACCGAGGACCATCCCAAGGGCCAGTGTTCGTGCAGTCCGAAATCTAGTGGGAGGTCTGTGCATTGTAGTCGGGGATTCGATAGCTAGAATAGTCTTGGATGTCCTGTGTGTTCTGAAAGTTTGTAATCATTCTAAGTCTCTGGCCAGAGCTGACTAAGTGATGATTAGAGAATTCGATTCTCTAAGTCATGCACGTGACGATTACAACACTTGGAACGATCGCACCGTCATCGAACATATAAAGAGGTCTCGATGAACCAATGCCTCTAGTTCGATCGGGACATATGTATCGAAGGGACCGTACTGTACGTTAACTATATCTGAAGGTTCTTGCAGGCACTTCATTTGTATCTAGGGAATCATGACGCGTAGTTGCTAGACGCCAATCTTGATTCGTTGGGTGATTAAGGTGAAACGAGCTTCATCTTAATCGTAACTCTAAGGGACGAGTTTTGACCACAAAGGGTTGTGGGCCCACGACTAGCTTACACCTGAACCATCGAGGGTCACACTGCTCGTGCACATGAGATCTTTGAATAAACGATAAGAGATAAAATAGTTTATCTTTGCATGATTGGAAGCTATACTGCACGGACACTTCTAGAAGGTGAAGAGTCCCCGTATCCGATACCTGGACACTTGGACACACCCGGATACTTCTCGGACACCCGTGTCGAGCCGTGTCATAATTTCGCTAAAAGTAGGACACCCGTGTCGGGCAGTGTCCACAATTTTAATGAAGTTGGGACACCTCTCTTACGTTTGAAGAAAGAGCCCTAATAAAAAAAAATGCGCATTTTCTTTTCTCTGTAATACACATTTCCTCTGTTTTCTTTGTGAATTCACCAAAAACTCCAAAAGTCTAGCATGCGACGGCGACCAAGAACACGAGCAACAAGGGCGAGCAGTTCTCTTATGCGATGACGACTTATACATATTTTTTCCAATTTATAAATGTACCTCTATATTTTTATTATTTATAAATATACCCCTATATTTTTTATATTTACGCGTATCCCCTGCGTGTCCGTATCCTAGTTTTTTAGAAATACCGTATCACCGTGTCCGTATCCGCGTATCACCGTGTCCACGTATCCGTGTCCGTGCAGCATAGATTGGAAGTCAATACGATTGGGTCCAACATTCGTAATTTGGAATTACGTATGAGAATAAGAAAAAGGAAAAGAATAGGCGAACATTGTAGTGGACTTTCTAAATCGGGAAGTTTCCAAATTTAGAAAGTGCACTGAACTAGGGTTTCCACTTTTGGAAAGTTGGAAATTGAGAGTTGGCACTCGTAATGACGAGGACTTTATAATTCCGAAAATATAATCATTGAAATTTTTCGGTCATTGAATTGAGAGAAACGAGCAAGTAAAAGTACTAGCGAACTTAAGTTGTTGGGCCCGGTCCAACTTAAGCCCGCTAGGGTTTTATGCAAGGCACTATAAATACAAGATTTATAGGTCTTGCTGATAAGTGTTCGTTTTGGACGATTTTTGCTTATCAAATCTTCGAGTTTTGGTCTTCGTTCGTCCGAGTTTCGGCTATATTTGTATATATTATTGCGTTTATTGTTTTATTTCCATTTTTAGGTTTTGTTAGTTATTTTTGCCGATTCGAAACGATTTTGAAAGCGAAGCCGAGAATCAAGCAAACAAGAGCAAAAATTGCAATCAAGTGGATGGTGGCAGCGTTCGGTATTTTACGCATAACTTTTTCATACGACCTCCGATTGAGCTGATTCAGATGGATTTACAAAGCCAACTGCAAGGGCTACAACTTTGATGAAATGCATTTTTGCCACATTCGGATTGAAAAAGGGTCAAAACATAGTTTGAAGTTATTGCAGCGACCATATCGCGATATTACCTTCCATATTGCGATATGGGAGAAAACGAAACAGAGAGCTTGCATTTTTGCCATATCGCGCGATATGACATGCCATATCGCGATATGGGGAGAAATGAAACAGAGAGCTTGCAATTTTACCATATCGCCCGATACTGCTTCCCATATCGCGATATGGCCTTGGGATGCGTAAAAAATATCTAAAAAGGCAAAGCTTCCTCAAGAAAATTTGCCCTACTATAAATACAAACCCCTTGTGTCATAAAACGGAGGAGAACTTCTTAGACCGACTCTCCGACTTTCTTCGACTTCTCTTCGGTTCTCGCCAGTTCTTCGCGGGAAGCTTCGATGAGGGTTTCGACTCGGGTTTTTCATAAGCTTTTTCTTTACGTTTAGTTTATGATTTCTCGTGTTCTTCATTTTGATGCTATGTTTGTAATGAACTGAGCATTTTCTTTTAGGGGAAATGAAACCTTGTATATATTGATTTTGATTTCCAGATCTGTGATCTATTTGTCATTCTTTGATTCTGTTTATGTTTTCCTGTATTAAATGCTTTCGATTGTTTGGCCAACAGTTGAATTGATTGTAAATGGGAATGAACTCGAGAGAGGATTTCTCGTTCGATTTTAGGAAAACATAGCTCGGGTTGTGGAAACGGAGACGTGATGCACCTCGGGTAGCCCTTAAGGACTTGACCTAAATGCTCTCTTAATATCAGGTTCTGAACGGAGACGTCGGACATGTGGGTAGACTCTAACTACACTGGAGACGGGGGTTAGGGTATTTTAGTGTCTGGGTTAGCGAATATAGAATTGACATTAGATTCGGATTTGTAGATCTTTATCGATAGTACACTGGTGGATTTTACCCTAGAAGCCATCACACGTTGGAATTCCTCGCTTGTCCTGGCGGACCGTTGTTTTTATTTTTGTTTCCTTTTGGCTTCATGTCATCTCCCATCTTTTTTTTTCCCGTCTAGATAAAGTTTAGGATAGTATAATTACGGTACTTGGTAGATTTAGGAACTTAATTCCCTGTGGATCGATATCCGGAATTCACTATTCTGCAAAACGCGATACTGTACACTTGCGGTTTTCCATACGTAGGTTTTACGCGTATCACTTGCATACAAGAGAACCCTAACCCTAACCCTAGCCGTTACTCTCTCTCTCTCTCGGCCACTCTTCCCGCGGCCACCACCACGCCGCCACCGCCGGATCGTCGCCGGAATCGGCCATCAATTGGCCGATCCCTTTCGGTACTCTTTTCTTCTTTCTTTTTCTTCCGTTATTTCTAACTATTACATGTCTAGTGCCACGTGTTTAGTAGATCGAAGTATACGAGGTGAAATCCGAGAGGAGGAAGATCGAAGATCGAAGAATCGAGGA